TCCCATTGGGGTGCGGTGGGGAATCCAGTATGGTTCATACAGTTCAGTGGAATTTATGGGTGGGCAGCCGAAGAGAACTCTTGGGGGCTGCTGGGTCCCACATGGCTCCAGGGTCCATGAGCTTCCTAGGTGTGACAGGCATGCCCCACATTTCAGAAACTGTTTGCGCATGAGTTTGTAGCAGTAGTAAAGTCCTGGGAAGGAAAAAAATAAAATAAAACCAGTGCTGAATTCTATGGAAGTGGGCTTCTGTGTCCCAGAACAGAACCCAGAAGGGGCTAGGCTGCCTTTTGTTTTGCTTTTGGGTTTATGTGTGTGCGTACGTGCATGTGTGCCTGTGTGTTTTTGCTTTGTTTCCTAAATAGGCTCTCTTATAGCCCAGCCTGGCCTTGAATTTGCTCTGTAGCTAAAGATGATCTTGAACTTCCAATCTTCTTGCCTCCACCTCTTGAGTATTTAACACACATAAACTTATCACCACACCCAGTTTTATGTAGTCCTGGGAATCAAACACAGGGGTTCATGTGTGCTAGGCAAGCACTCTACCAAATGAGCTACATTCACAGCCCTGAACGGACATTTTATAAATGAACTTTCAAGTCTCTTACAGTTATAGTCTCTGTCTTTAAGGTACATGTGCATCATCCTTGGGGTGGCTGGCTCTTCCATATCTGTGCCTTGCCCTGTTTCTGGTGTGGCTTCCCTGAGCGGTACACTCTGGTGTCTCTGTCTAGATCCCTAGAAACAGTCTATTCCTCAGGTAGGGTGGGCCCAGAACCACCCTGATTGACCACACAAGATTGGACCAGAAGTTTCTGCCAGGCTCAAGCTGAACCAATCACATTTGTTCCCCAGGAGGTCTAATCAAGATTTCAAAACCACAATGAACCAATCAATGTCCGGGTGAACGAGGCTGATGAGAAGTAAAACAGAGGGGCTTCTGATTTGCACTGGCTTCTACCTTACTTGAAACTAAGAGTGAGTCCTAGGGCATCATCTCTCCTCCTAGCACCCTGTTCCCACCCAGCTCAGTACCAAGTGTCAGGTAGAAGCCTGACCACATGCTTCTTTTTAGAAGGCCTGTTCTTCAATGAGTTCCGCTAGAAAAGGGGTCTGCAGGTCCCTTCAAGTACCTAATCTCCTTTCCCTCTTGAGAACATGAGGTTTCTACTTAGGAATTGTCTTCCAGCCCTTGATACCTGCGAGGAAAGAACCAGGTTTCACATTGTGCCAACTCTGTACCAAGCACCAGAGATCAATCTGATCCATTCTCTTCAAAGAAGCCTGCGGCCATGGTTACATGAGAGCCAAGTACAAATAGGCTAGATGACGTGCCAGAACCACACCGGTGAAAGTGCTAGGATTTCAAACAGGCAAAATGTGTTCTGCAGTACTTCAGCCAGGCTTGGAATTGGTAAGCTTCAGTTTTTCTGGTGAAGTCAGGAAGTTCCAGCATGAGGGGTGGTTGAGTCCCAGCCTTCTTGGGGTAGACTCTCTGGGAAAACCATCTGAAGGGCCAAGGTACTCTGGCAACATCAGAGCTGGGAATCCTGCTAGCCCTGTCTCCAGACAGAATGCCACACAATGGAAGGCTTGTGCAATGTCCTGCAGGCAGACTAAGAGGGACCAAGTGGGCCTCTGCCCTACCAGGCTAAACCCAGGGCAGCCTCCTCCCTTCCCGCAAGCCTTCAGACCAGAGCCCATGGACAGCAGGCATCAGACCTGCCCCTTACGGTCAGTGCCTCTGGCACTCACCAGCTCTCACAGGCTGCCTGGGCCCTCCTTGAAGACAGGAGCCAGGGTTGTTAAGCACTGCTGTGTGCCTTGCAATGAGGCTGAACCCTTCCTTGCTCTTTCCTCTGAAGGCCACCAGCCATGTCACTTTGGAGAATCCCAGCCTTCCTGCCCTCAGCTTCCATATCCATAAAATGGAATAGGAATAGACTCTCCCAGATGCATGTGGCCAAAGGAGTTTCAGATTTGGGACATTTTCAGATACTAAAATATTTTTGCATATACACTATGAGATTCCGTGGAGAAAGAACCTAAGCATAACCACAAAATGCATGTTTCATATATATTTTACATAGCCCGAAGTTCATTTACATAGTTGTTTTGATAATTTTGTACATGAAATGTGGTGTGGAATTTTCCACTTCTGTAATGTCAGTGCTCTGGAGCTTTTGGATTTTGGAGCATTTTGGACTCAGGAATTTTGGATAGGTACTTACCCCAGGGGTGGGTTGCTGGAATGTAATAAGCTAACTGCCTTTAAGTTCCCAGCCAGTTGCAAAGTGGCATCTAAGAAAGCTCTTTCCATGCAGTTGAGAGGCCCTGCACTGAGTATTCCTAAACAAAATGGAAACTGAGGGAGGGAGAAAGGTTCCAGGGATCCTCCGGTGTCTCAAGCCCAGGCCACCCACCACGATTCCCTGTGCCTCAATAGTAACTCCTCTTCTCAGGACCTGCCCGAGGCTGGCCGCCACCCCTGTCCTTGGCTGCAGTGATTTCTAAGCTCCATTCCCATAGCCTGGAGTGCATTAAGGCATACTCTTTGGAATGTTTCAACTAATAAATTAATAATTATTAATCAATCATCAATCAATCCCTGGGGCCTGAGCCTCCTTCCCAGACTGAAGCTGGCTGTCTTTTTATAGTCACATTATAAACTTCCAAGATAGGGCAGCCCAGGGGCTCCAGCCATCCTGCCCCAAAGGGAATTTTACCAAAGAAAGCCCCAATAAGGACAAAGTACATCCACGTCTGTCCATGTTGGGTCAGGTGACCTGAGCCCTGAAGGTGTGGGCATCTGAGGGAGAGCTGTCACTTGCTTGCACTGGGGCCTCCAACTTGTCCAAGCACCTGCTGAAAGGTTCCTGAGCCAGGGCCTTCAAGCTATCTCCTCCTGAAAGATTCCAGAAGACTTCCATTTGCATGCTGGCCAAGTAGAGTAGGAAAGAACACAGCCTCCACCTGGACCGAACCGGAAGCCCCAGAATCAGGGAACAGGAAGAACAAAGAAAAGACAATGGAGTTCTTTAAACTCTTCTAAATTTATTCAAGTTTGAACAAACAGAAACAACGTCATGCATCGGTTACTTTTTGCTTTTGTACAACAAAACTAAGTAGTTGGTATCTCTGCAGAGGTTTGGCGCTTGCTTTTTTTCCTTTCTTTCCATAACGTCAGGCAGACTTTTCAGTGTTCTCCAGTTTTGCACAGTCACTGGAGTGTCGCGTCATGAATTATTAAATCAGTGCTTCGTGGTAATACATAATTTCTTATCAATTATTCATGCTAATGTGTGTGTAGTTTACTTAATTGTGTTATTGACGATCAAAAGTAATTTCCTGAAAGTCCTCAAGGACACAAAATTTAATCAGCATAACTACTTTTCGGATGCAATGCTGTTAAGTATTCTTAATTTGCCCAACAGTTCACTTATTTATGTACCTTTCTGGAGGAAATACGAGTTTAATCAAACAATTAGATTGAAGAGTTAGTGTGCATAAGGGCCGGAGCTTACATCGCTCAACCAAACATTCATAATTACAGAGAAACGGAAGCGACTCTGCCGCTTTTTGGCAAATCGGTTCATCTTTGTACTCAACAAGCAAAATACAGCAGGAACGGGGGTCTAATTTTTTTTAAGGAAACAGTATGTTTTATCAAATGCTTTGCGGTAATCATAAGTGAGGCACTATACACTTAGGAGTATTATGGGGGAGGGGGCAGCTCCTAAGGAGCTAAAGGAGAGGCAGAGGATCTGAAAGCAGAACCTTTTGATTACAAGAACTGAAAGGAAAACAATTATCATGAAAGCAATAACTGTCTGAGTGGAAACACCATCAGCAAAAGCCACCAAAGACTGCAACCTCTCAGGTACCAGGCAAGGGGCAGGGCTCAAGCTATTGCACATCTCTCTGATCTCTTTGAGGCCACTGTCCGAATGAAAGAACACAGCCACACTAGACTGAGACAGATATCTTGATCAAATTTGGCCCTTTGGAATCCACTCTCTCCCATCACAAGGAAGCCATTTCCCCACGCTTCCTCTCTGCACATCCACCAGCCCCATCTCATCTTGTTTCCGATTTTAAAAAATCACCACTGTAGACCCCCCCTCCACCCACCAAGGATGTGAAAAGGGGCAATGTGTTGGTATGTATTTAAGAGGCCTTCCGAGGGGCTTCCTCCCATGGCAGGGACTGGGTCTTTTCTGAACCAGGGAGCTGTTTTCTGGTTGGTGAACTTTGCACCAACCTCCAAGGTCTCTTCAGAAGAGAGGCAGAGTCAGGGGGTGGGCACTCCAGTTGTATAAGGACCCACATTTGCCCCATGCCCACAGTATCAAGATGATAGCCCCATGGTCATGGAGCTGACAGCCTATACGACTGGCCCAGACAAATGTGCCCAGGGAGATCTGTTAGTGGTAGGGCCACTGTGTGCTCACCCCACATTTTGTCACAGCCTAACCAAACCTACAGCCAATACCTTCCAAGAAAAGGAAGGGTGTTGTTGCAAGTCTTGGTGGAGAGGAGCAAAACGTGTTGAGATCCCACCAGTTCTGTGGTTTTTAAACAATGTAGAGGTGACAGTCTTGTTTTCTATCATGAGATGTCACCTCTGGGTATCTCTCAAGGATGATCCATGCCACAGTTGTTGGGGTTGACAAGACCTTCCAAGGTAACTCAGAAAGGGGACAGGAAAGGTGATAGGATGAGCAAATTTGCTTCCCTCCAAGTCCCCTTGGCCTGGGTAGAAACCCCAGGAGCCTCACTACCAGGTGGCCTCCAGAGTCACCAAGTACCATTGGAAACCATTGCCAACAGTCAGGACACTACAGCCCAGCAGAATTGTAGGGATCTCCAGGCGCCAAAAAGACTGTGAGTCTTGCTTTCCTAGCACGTGAGGAGGCAGCTTCTCATTGCTGTTCAGAGTTGTAGGGCTGAGGTGAGAAGAAGCCGGATCCGGAGGCCAGACTCCTGGGCTGTCTGGACCCTCATACACTCTTCTCTCCCTCGCTCTGTTCCTTGGTTGGTGGGGTCTTGTCCTGGCTGCCCTCGGGGGGTGCCTGCTTGACTGCAGGGGTGGGGCTGCCGCTGGTGGATGGCAGGAGGTTGGCGGACTGCAGGACGGCTTCTGAGTGCTCACGGGCCTTCATACGAAGGGCGGCCACGCTAGCCGTGCGGTTACTCTGGCAGCCGTAAGTGGGGAGGAAGGAGAGACCCATGGGATCTGGGACACAGCAAGAGCACAGCGGGCCCCCTGGAGGAAGGAAAACAGCAGGCTCCATCAGTGTCCACACCCTGTCTCTTAGGGTTGGGGGAGGGTCTGGACCTGGAAAGAGGGACATTAATTCCCTTTGGTTCCAAATACTGGACAGAGGAGGACAAAGACCCAGATCCCCAGAGATGGACAGGTCAAGCCAGCCAGGTGGTAGTAATTTGACCATCAGAGCATCAGGGAGACCTGGTCAGTCTGTGTGGTCTTAGGCCTAGATCTTGGCCTCTCTGAACTTTGGCTTCTACTTGTGTAAGATGAAGTCATCCCTCACTCCCAAACTATGGGCCAAGGCACCCCTAAGAGTTCACTGTGGGACTTTGCAGGGTGCCCAGCCACTCTGCCAGATGCTAAACAAGCCACTAGCTAGAAGCGGCTCATGGCGACATGTGAGACCAGGCTGCATTTTTTTCTAGGCTGTCCTGTGTCACGCATGACTTTGGAGGCACCACACAGAATATAAAATGAGAGTTGTGACAGGAAGCCTGCCTGCAGTGTTGGGGAAGCTAAGCAAGGCCACCATGTACACCAGCCCGTCACGTAGGACTGGTAGCTATTTAAATGTGATCTTCTTTCCAGTTGTAAGAATTATTTTCCAAACGCCCGTCCAGTTGCTGGGACATAAATGCTTACTAAGTCTTCTGAGATTTGACCATTTCATGAAAGAACTGTTTGCTATTGCTTGGGGCCCCAGAGCTGAGAGCTGAGGTCTGAGGCTCGGAAGCAGTTATTCGAAATGCACTTAGCACACACCCAGGCCAAGTTTATTCTTTCCATCCACATGCTGCCCCTTGGCTAGTGAAGATAAAGCATATAGCACTGGAATTTCTGAAGAGGCCCAAGCCAGAGCTCTCATAGAAAGAAAAGAACCCACTGTATACCTAGCTCCCCTGCTGTCTTGGACATGCCTATCAATGCTCACAAACTTGGAGCTGCTTTTCTGTTATCCAACCATGACCTGGAATCCCCACCTAAGGCCACCTCAGGGCAATAATCCAGGCATAATGCCAGTACCCACTGGGCCTTCAAAACCATGCCAACCTGAGGCCCACATATAGAGATCAGCCTTCGGGGGTGACCTCTACAGTGTCAGCTATCTGGGCAACTGAAGGGTCCCCGCCCTCCTTCATCAGGAACAGGTTCACTTTCCAGTACCAGGGTGTTCCTCCTCTCCTCTTCACCTATCCTGCTCAAAAGCAAGGCGAGAGAGAAGCTCCCCTTGGCCCCTATTCATTGCCCCCCTCTCATCACCAGTATGCCCCTGGGAGGGGTGAACATTCCTCCTTTGCCCTCTTCAGGTGAGGAGCCACAGACTCCAAGCATGCCCACTTCTTGGAGGTGTGGGATCAGACTCTTCTGGTTCCTTAACATAGTGGTTCCAATGCAACCTTCCTGCTTTGATTTGAAATGAGGGCCTGCTACACAGGTAGCAGCTACCAAGATGAAGGTGAAGCCAAGATCAAGTGCACAAGGGAATCCTGGGAACCAGTTCCCTTACCCTGCATGCTTGGCTGGTCAGACCCCAGGCCCTGAGTGGTCCCTGTCCATAGAGGCTTAGCATGTTGATGATAATCACCATGAAATGCCCCTGCAGGGAGTCTGTTTCTGCTGGGCAGGATGTGCCGGTGCCATAGGCTGGGAGCCTCCCTAGGGTGGAAATCGCCCCACAAGAGGCTTTCTCCGGTCCAGACCCCCTTCCTAGCAAGGTACTTGCTGCCTAAGAGAACCAAAGGTGTGAAGAGACCCAAATGCTAAAGATGGTGGTCCCTTGGGGGACAGGAGGGACAGCAAAGAATTTGTGGTTTTCTCTGTTAGAATTTTTTTCTGCAATGAGAATTAATTTCTTTTTTAATATTTTATTTATTTATATTTTATGTGTATGAATGTGTTTCCTGCATGTGTGTAAATTCATCCGTGTCATGCAATGCCTGTGGAGGTCAGAAGACGGCATCGGATCCCCTGGAACTGGAGTTAAAGAGGGTTGTTAGCCACCATGTGGGTGCTGGGACTCAAACTGGGGTCCTCTGCAAGAGCAGCCAGTGTTCTTAACCGCTGAGCTGTCTTTCTAGCCCCAGAGCATGAATTTCTTTTAAATTCAGAAATATGAATTTAGAAAGAGAATGTCAGAAAGCAAGAATGCTGGAGAAGACTTCTAGCATATCTGAGAGGAAGGCTGGAGCACAACAAGCCCAGAGCCACACACAAGCTGAAAGTCTCAAGGAGTGTGACTGGGGACATGGCTTTTGGGGGGCCTGTAAGGAGAGCTGCAGCCTCACACACAAGCCCTGGGCAGCCACTGTGTCAGGCTGCCCAAGAAAGGCTAGCCTTTGCCCCAAAATAAGACTTACTCCAATGAGTATCGAGTAGTAAGTTAAATGTTCTATGACTCAGGGTAACAGTGACAGAAATGGCAGCACTCCTCTCTGAACCACAGTACACACTCACTAGGTGACAACTACAATTGTCCCCCTCCAAAAGCCACCAGTAGCTTCACTCTGAGCCCTCCAACCCCAGATTTGTAGGTGAAGAGAAATAATTCAGAACCAAGGTTATGGCCTGGTTCATCTTCTAACTCTAACCTTAGACAGATGGGGAAACTGAGGACCAGATGAAGTCAAGGGCTCTAGAGAACTCTGCGGTTAAAACTGTAAGTACTACATGCAGTAGAGTGACATTCTGCTTTGAAAAGAAGGAATTGCTGGCCAATGCCACAACACAGATGGACCTCTGGACCCTGGGGAATTGCTAAGGGAAGTGAACACCGGAAGGTGAATGTCAGAATTCCAGTCACATGAAGTAGCCAAGACAACAGACAAATTCATAGGAACAGAAAACAGAGCGGCAGCTCTCGGGGACTAAGGCAAGCAGGAACAAGGAATACAGAGTTTCATAAGAGGAAAAAGATCCAGGTGTCACAGTGCAATACAGTTGTCCCTCGGCATTCATGGAGGACTGACTGCAAGACTCCCAAAAATCCAAGAACACTCAAAGTACCTTATAACAAAATTGTGCAGTATTTGCACAGAACCTGTGAGCATCCTGTGTACTTTCCCTCATCTCTTGATGATGCCATTCAAGTGCTGGGCAAGGAGCTGCCATCCTCTGTTGTTCACGCGGTACTGACAAGAAAAGTTTGTCTTCATGGGTCCGCACAGACGCAATTTTTTTCAAACAATTTCTGTCTGCAGTTGGTTGAATGGAGAAATGTTGGACTCATGCATACACAGGGAAGACTGTATACATAATAATATTGAAATGTACACTTAAACGTGGCTAATGGATTGGAGAAGTGGCTCAGCAGCTAAGAGCACATACTGCACTTTCAGAGGACCCAGATTTGTTTTCTAACACCCGTATCAGGTGATTCACAACCACCTGTAACTCCAGTTCCAGGGGATCCAACACCTCTGGCCTCCACAGGCACTGCACTCACATGCATATACTCATACATACATACATACATACATACATACATACACACACACACACACACGAGGAGGGGGAGGGAGGGAGGAAGGGGGAGGGAGTGAGGGAGGAAGGGAGGAAGGGAGGGATAGAGGCAGAGGGAGAGAGAGAAAGTTAAAAATAAATAAAAAATCTTTTTTAAGTTGATTAAAATGAAAAAATTGTT